TGCCAATGCAAGACGTACATTTCTAGGATCATTGGCAAAGTCTGGAAATTTCGCATCAAACGCTTTCCACGCCTCCGAGTCTCGTGGGTGCCTTAACCTACCATCTAGGTTTTCCTCAGTCGCGTGCCACCTCATGTGCTGAGCCATTTTTGATGACATATACATTCTTTGCAACCGTGGTTTCAAAGGAAAGTATCTAAGAAAATAATATATTAAAAATTTAAAATACCGAATATTTTTAGAGACGGAACAAGTAACACGCTGTAATAATTTGTACCTGAGAATTTTGGCCGGTTTCTTCTTTTGCTTCTTGCCCTTTCGTACCGACTTATAGCGTGACGTCTTGCATCTCGTACAAATCTCTTTGTTGGCATCATCTCCCCAGTATAGCATACAGTCGTTTGGGCATGCATCTATCTTCTTATAGTTCAAGCCAAGCTTGTTAATAATCTTTTTTGCTTCGTAAAAAGACGGAGGGAATTCAGCTTGGGGGAAAGCATCTCCCAGTAATTCCAGCAACATAGACATCGCCTTGTCAGTCATACCGCACAAGCATTTGATGTGATACAGCCTCACCAAGAATGACAACTTCGAATACTTTGTACACCCAGAATAAAGAGGCTTGTCAGCTTCGGTCATGAGGTCAAAAAATTCCCGAGCAGTTTCGTTTCTTAGAAACTCCGGTTGAGGTCCCTCTACTTCATCTTCGTTGGGATTCGAGCTTTCGTGAACACCAAAAGCATCACGCACAGCATCATTCACGGCATCGGCCTCATCCACTCGAACTCCCATCCGTGAAACTACTGGCACTGACTCAGCACCCATATCTAGCCGTTCCCCATGTAGTTGCCAAAATACGTACTCTCGCGGAAAAGGCTTAAAGATTAAATGTTCCCTAACAATATCTTTGGGATGCCACTTTTTGAAATTACATTTAGGACAGGGACACTGAATCTTACCATTTACGGCAGCATTGGCGAAAGCAAAATCCAAGAAATAGTTTAGACCAGCCAAGTATTGCGGAGTCGACCGGTGCAAGTTGATCCACGACCTATCCATGACTAATAATGCTCAAATTTCGTGAAAATATGCCACAGAGCTCAAAGAGAAGTTAAAATGAAATTCAGTTGAAGTGCTTCAGCTTATAAAGGAGGGTGGAGGAACGGTCATTTTTTTGTAGCGGTTACAAAACCGCTACAAATTTGTAGCGGTTTTAACGGAAAATTTCAATTTCCAGCGGTTATTAACCGCTAGAAATTCTAAATATCGGTTACAAACCGATAGAAATTTCTAGCGGTTTAACGGGAATTTTCTCTCCATCTGTTTTGAATTTTCTAGCGGTTTTATAACCGCTAGAAAATTCGGTCAAATTTCACAATTTTCTAGCGGTCTTGTGAACCGCTAGAAAACTGTAGAATTTTCTAGCGGTTCTTGAGAACCGCTAGAAAATGTAGAATTTTCTAGCGGTTTCGTGAACCGCTAGAAAATTCTACAGTTTTAAAAATATTTATTAAATTAATAAATGATTATAGAATTATTTCGAGTAATTAATATGTTTAACGTGTTTAATAAATTGTAATGTTGATGTTGTAATAAATAAATAAATATTTCAATATTAATTAGTACTTGACATAAATAAAATTATAGAAATAAATCAATAAAGGAAACAAATAAATATAAAATTTAGATAAATATCTAAATAATATATAAAACCGTAAAATCAAGATTCTAATAAAATCCGATACAATGAAAGCAAATCATGGGTGGGGGGCAGAAGCAGCATCATCGGGATCATCCTCTGCTGAATCCTCCGGCTGACGGTGGGCAGGCCGCTCAACCTGCTGGGACTGGACTGGCGGATGGCGGGGTAGGGGCGGGACTGGTGGCATGTGTAGGTCGGGGATGTCAGGAACCGAGATGTTTGGAGCTATACTGACCACCACATGACGCAGAGCCGTAGCAGCTGCCAAGAGCTGGTCAAGCTGCGTCTGGAGCTGACGATCACGCTCCTGGAACTGACGATCACGCTCCACGATCCTGGCCTCGAACTCTTGTCTGAGCTCCTCTCGCAATTCCTCTGAAGATGAGGAACCCGGCCGCTTCGCACTCGCATGAGAGCTCCCAGCAGTATATGAAGGGCCAGCGCCACTTGAGCGGGGCAACCTAGTCGGTGTAGGTCCAAGTCCAAGCCCGCTAACTCGACCAGGGTGCTGCGGCCGGCCACGACCCGCTAAAAGTGAGGCGGTGGGATCCAAGGCAGACCCCTGAGACTCACGCAACTCGGAATCGACCTGAGTCATCCGTGCCTACCAAAATTAATATAAAGAAGTTAATTATAATATAATGATATCTACACTGTGATATTATATTAATATTTAATTTATTACTTACCGCTATCTCCTCAACCTCATCCGACGCACGCCCGTCTCGGGGTCTATACACCATCGGCCACATCTCGCCATAAGTGGGCGTGTATCCCCGCTCCTGCTGCGTCTTTTCCATCTGTAAATGAAATCAAAGAAATAATTAGTTACAAATTAAATACATCTACATATTTAATAAATTTATTTCAAGTACTCACAATCTCGTCATAAGTGATCGCAAAGCTCCTGGATCCAGCCCTATGACGTATCGTCTGATGCCTGACGCTCCTAGCATTTCTCCTAGAAAGAGCCTGAAGCAAAATGTAAAAAAATTAAATTAAATGAGTCAAGTCGGATAAAAAATAAAGAAATTATAATTAATACAATATTATCATACCATCTGGTCAGCCGTCATCCTAAAATAGACGTAAGTGGACCAGTCTTGGTCCGGGACTCCACCAGGTACATCTGCCAGTATCTCCTGGAGGGGCCTCGTCCCGTCACCTTTCTTCTCCCTCCACAGGTCGGCCCTCCTGTTCTTCCATGCCATCCCAAGCCTCTTGATCGTGTCAGCCCTCAACTCCTCCCCCAGAATAAATTTACTCTATGATTAAAATAATAAATTAACTAAATAACAAATTATAAACAAATAATTAAGCAATTTCAATAATCAAAAACAAATAATTAGTTTTTAACTAATTTAACAATATTATAAATAAAATATAAATTAATCAAAGTTTAATAATAATTAAACAATTAAGTAATTTAAATGAAAAAATATTTTTACTCAACTAAATTTAAAATTATTATAAGTAATAAATTAATGAAATCAATAACAAATTATTTTCATTTAACTACTTTTAAATAATTTAAATTAAAAATATATATTCATTTAACTACTTTTAAAAATATTATAAATAACAAACAAATTAAATAAATAAAAAATTATAATCAAACAATTAAATTATTTGAAAACAAAATATATAATCATTTATTTAAATTAAAAAAAATTATAAATAACAATTTTATATTACCTTCATTATTTCCCAGCCTTGCTGCTTCTTGTCTGAGGTGATCTTCTTCCAGTCCTGCACGTAGATGGGGAACAGCGTCCACTGCTGACCAAGGAGGCGCACGTACTTGTTGTACAACTGGCCACCTTTCTTCGTCGGTTGGCCCAACTCATTGAGCGGCACAACCACTCGTCCGCCCGTCATCATAGACAGCTCTCTGGCTGTCAGCCTCCGATAGGACCTGTTCCCCTCAGTGTCTACAAAATTTAATTAAGAAATAAATTATATATCAATAAATTAATATAATTTCTATATAAATTAAATACTGATCAAAACTTTAAAAAGTTAAATAAATACTTACCGACAAATTCCACCTCATAACCAGCCTGACGTCTCGGAGCAGGACGCTGTGCAGCCTGGGGATACTCATTCCCCTGATCCTGCTCCTCCTCCTCCTCCTCCTCCTCGTCAGCAGCATCAGCATGGGGTTGCTCATCCCCAGTAAAATGAGCCTCCTCAGTCCGCTCAATACCATCCTGCTCCATAAAACTGAGGATATCCTCCTCGCTCAGATCGTAGTCATGAATGCTGGGAAATGGCTCATCAGCATCATGATGAACCTCACTGGGTCCAGCTCTCTCAGGATCAACTGGGTCTTTCCCATGTCGACGAGGCATCCTAATAACAACAAATAGTAATTATTTATAAATGAAATAAAAAAAATTAATTTATAAGCTATAACATAATAAAATTAATAAAATAAAACATAAAATAAAAATTATTTATCAATAAATTACTATTTTTACCTGAAAATAAGGATCTGCAACTGAATCAGAACTCAAATATGTTTGTGAAGAAAATTCAGCAGAGCTTCGCTTCCAGAACGATTGAAGAAGTGAGAGTGTGGGGGGGTATATATAGACCGAGACTTTCTAGCGGTTAGGCACAAAACCGCTAGAAATTTCTAGCGGTTCTAGGCCTGAACCGCTAGCCATTTCTAGTGCTTCATGCATCAACCGCTAGAATTTTTCGGTGTCTAGCGGTTTATTAGCCTGAACCGCTAGAAAGTAAACGCTACAAATTTGGCGCCAAGTTCCCGCCAAAGCCCGGGGAGTTTTCTAGCTCTAATTTTCTAGCGGTTAGGGGGTAACCGCTAGAAATGTGCGTTTAATGGTCAAACCGTCTGTATTTTGCAGCGGTTTTTATAGGAACCGCTAGAAATATCTCAAATTTCTAGCGGTTTTGTTTAACCGCTAGAAAGGTTCCGCTGCTACTTCTACAACTTCTTGTAGTGTCAAGGTCAGTCAAAGAAGAAAGGAAAAAAATTCATGAAATGTTATCAACATCAATTAGGAGATTGTCCATCTTGTTCAGGGTCATTCAAAGAAGAAAGGAAAGAAATTCATGAAATGTTATCAGCATCAATTAGGAGATTGTCCTTTAGCTAAAAAACCTCTAATCTTGGAAGATTACCAAGTTGGCTAGGAATTATGCGCCCTAGATGGTTATGATGCAAAGTGAGTTGCAGCAAGTTAGAAAAATTTCCCCATTGCCAAGGAATATAATTTCTCCTTTAAGATACGTAGTTCAATTAGAGAGGAAGGTTCTGTAGGCTCCACAGTTCTCCTAATTGATAAGGATTTTCCCACCAAAGTAAGCATGCGTGGATTGAAGCAGCTTTAGTTTATATGTGGCATGCTTCCTATTCCTAATTTAGACTATTTGAATACATGGTCACTCTTTGAACATTGCTCCAACATTATGGGAACCTTCAATTTATAATCATTTCCTTCATCACAAAAAAAGCAGTGTAGGCAGCGTGCTTTCCCCAGCTAAAATTAATTGCAAGACTTGATAATATTCCAAAAGTCTGCCTTCAAAAGTATATACCTGTGGACTCCGTCAAACTGACGGGGTTTGCAAAATGAAATTAATTATGACACACCGAGTAACCATGGATATGGAGACCTATCAATAAGTTAATGAAGGTGATGGCATGTACGTGTAATAAGAGTACGTATTGCGGGGATCAATAATATCTGAGAGTTGAAGCCGATCGAGTCGTGTATTTTGGGGGCAGACTTGGCTTCAAGTCTATGACAGGCATGAACGCGTGAGAAGACTTTATAGATTGGATTGACCCATTGAAATTTGAGATAATTAAAGCATGAATTAAAAAAAATCTTATTAATTTAATACATATTTCAAATTAATAAAAACCTATTATATAAAGTGGTTAATGGTGTTAATAGAATTGTGAATATTGTTATAAAAATTGTTAATGACATTACAAATGTTTAAAAAATTTCAATTTAAAAACTTGAAACGTTGTTAATCACCGTGTTATGAAAATTCAAAAAAATCTGAAAAAATAGTTGCTAATCACTGGATCACCGTTGATCAGTATCTGGCAGTCACTTGAACTCTGGCACCAGCGTTAAAGCTCCAACCGGCTGGTAAGAGTGACTTGAAGGTTTGAAAAGAAAAAATAAAGGGCAATATTATAAATTCACTTAATTTTAAAATTTTACATCAGTCAATTTTGCAAGTTTAGATGACATTTGGGGTTTTACAAATTCAACTATCATTTTATTGAAAGTTTTCGGGGGGGAAAAAAATCTAATATCAACTCATTCCTTTTCATTTTAAAAAAAATGTTCCTATTCCAAATTTCAAATATTGCAAAGAAAATGGCTATTCAGGCCCAACACCAAAAAGGACATTATCATGGGCCCATTTCTGTAGCCCAATTTTGTGCTGAATGGGAAAGTTACGTACGGCTTGGGCTTCTCATATTCAACAACTCATGCTTGTCTGAAATGAAAATAAAAAATTAAAAAATTTCCCAAACATTGAAAATTCGTTTCGTCATTTTAGTAGCTCTTCGTTTTTTCCCCTCAAAACCAAAAATTTCGATTCTCTGAAAAGTATGGACTGTTTTTGGTCAGAGAAAAGAATGGACATAATTATTAATTAAACATGATATTAATGACATAGTATGTAGGTACCGACAAGGTGAAACACGACAAAATTGACAACAGTAATTAATTAACATAAGCACACATGACATGGATGCTTTATTTTGACGGCGGCCAACAGAAACCTATTCCACATATACCACGTTGTTTCTTATTATAGATCATTTGTACCTTGAAAGTTTGTGTCAAAATATAATTCACTTATAGTATAATTAATTATCTTTTTCTAATTTTATCCCTATTAATTTAATAAAAAATTAATTAATCTCTCTCTCCATTTCTCTCTCAACTTTTCATTTCTTATGCAATCCATCCTTTCCCCTCTCTCTCAACTTTTAAGAAGGGTAAATATGAAAAAAAAAAAACTGGTTAATTTAATATATTTCTTGGTTTGCGGGTTTGGGATACAAGTGACTTATAATAAGAAACAGAGTGGTATACTAATTTCTTGTTCATACATACCTATCACAAATTACATAATACTTCTCCAATTTTTAATATAAGATCTACTATTTAACTAATTTAATTGAATTAAGGAGATTAGGTAAGTTTGTCAATTATAAAAAATATAACATATTTTTCTTAAAATATCATAATTATGTTTCTTAATATCTTCCCTCCTCTCTTAACTTGATTATGGTTAAGGGAATATCCATAAGAGTAATTTAAGAAAAATTAATAAATATAAAAAATAGATATAATATTTATGACTAATTTAAAAAAATAGATATAATATTTATGACTAAATTTAACTCACTAATTAGGTCATATATTAATGACCGAAGAAGTAATACCCAAATACAGTATGAAAACCTAAGATTAAAAGTTATGAATAGAGTATTTGGATGAAAATCAAATTATGATTTTAAAAATGATTTTATGATATATGAAGTAAATGTGTAAGAAGTTTTGTCTCAATTTATGTAATCAAACATTTCTTATGTTCAATACCACCTCTGTCTCTTATTATAAAATTCAATTTTTTGAATATGTTTGTCCATTTTTATAAAATTCTTTTTGAGTTTGTCTGAACATTTAATGTATTATTACCTATTTTATCTATAGTTTAATACATTTAATACATCCTCTTTCTTCATTTATCTCACCATTATTCTCTCATATCTACTCATTTATATAGGGGTATATTTGAAAAAAAAATACATTTGTTACATATTAATTGCTTTTAACTAATTTTAACTGTTTTTTTAAACCACGCAATTTAGTTAAAAATATCTTTTAATAAAGGACGGAGTAGTATATTCAATGAACCACGTGGGGATCGACGTTGTTTATTTATGATGCTATGTAAATGCTTCTTTATTATTTCTGCGATTCTTCAAATGTAAGTCAGTAAGCGAGTTAAAGAGAACTCACAGCTTGTAATCTTATTTTCTCATTCAGTTTAAAGTCTAATTAATCTCAACTCCAACAAGTGAACACGACCAAAGTTAACATGTTACTATTTTCGATCCTAATTATAAGAGCTAGTTAACTACTTTAAGAAAATTAAGAAAATAAGTTAAGTTAGTTATTTGTAATGAATAAGTGTTGTCTTTTCTAAAATATTCTTATTAATCAAGTGTATTGGTGAGAATTACCATTATTAGAAGGACCACATTGGAAAAAAATGCATAAATATGAGAGACAAAATAGATTGAGGTCTTATATTTAGGATTAAAATAAAAATCAAAAGAGGTCTTATATTAAGGACTGAAGGTAGTGTGTATATATATTACCTCCAATTCTCAATATAAATGTTAGTTTGACTTTTAATTTGGTCTTAAATATAAAACTCTTATCTACTTTGTCTCTAATATTTATTTATTTATTTTAAAGTAGTCCTCGTAATAGTTACATATATCAAATGTTCTATCAAATAGTAATTTTAGCTAATACATGATTAAAAGAGATATTTTAGAAAAGACAACATCTAATTATTATAAATAATTAACTCAGCAAACTTTTTTAATCTACTTAAATTAATTAACTAACTCTTATATTAAGAAGTGGAGATAGTATATCCTTAAAGCCTTCCTAGGACCAACTTTGGGATATAGGAGTCGTGGACTGAGATATGAAAAGGCCAAAATACCATCTGCTGCGTCTCCATTAGTGCTACCATGGGCTACTTTGCCGATGAAATATGGAAGCGAAAAATTCAATGACCGGCGATACGGCGATGAAATGTTATGTTCAGGCTTTTCATTCAATCATATATTGATTATTGATAGAGAGGTTCAGTGACCTTGGGCATCTTCCTATATTTGATTTTGATGATCACAACAATCCTCTCATAAAGACTATACATGAAGGTGAACAACTATGAAGTTAGCCTGGCTCCCATAATTAAACAAATTCTGTTTGTTATCACATTTAAAATTATTTGTAAGCATATTTTATGTAAATCGAAATAAAATTTTTTTTACGTACTTACCTGGTATTTCGTAAATCATGATTAAAAAACTGATTATAAATCGTTCCGAATGGGTCTAAATTAAAGACAAGAAAAATGATGGCAATGTGGTGGACAGTGGAGACACTGGTATTCTGGACTGGGTCCAGAGCTGTTGAGTTAGATGAAGCCCATGGCGATTTCTTTTACCAAAAAATGAAGAAGCCCATAGGAACTTCATCATCTTATTTGTATTGTACATGTTTTATTTATATCATTTTAAAAACGAAAAATAAACCACAGGATAAAAAAGTTACAAAGAAATCACACTCATCTTTCAAGGATATTACTGCCAGGTTTTATAAACATCTTTAAAGTTGCATTCCTAATAGAATTTCTTCTAATAAGTTGTTATTTGAAAAGTTCACAACGTACACCAACTCACCAAGCTTGTCAGCTCTTGACTCCACAGTCTTAAATTAAGAAAAACCACAGGCTCCTCACAGATTCCCAAGCTCCCACCAGATTTCGCCATTCAAATTGTTACTTGATACAAATCTTTATTACCATAATCCCCTGTGCAGTATTATTTTTATGAAAATTCTTGCTGTAATCCCCTAATAATGTTCTCATTCATGTTTTGTTCTAAAAGTTAGTAAAATTTAATCCAACTATACTTTCCAAATAAATAACTCAAATTTATCATTAAAAAATTATGTAGAATAGATTAAAAATGACATGTTTAAAGTAGTAGGAGTTAAAAGCGAAAAAAATAATGAAGTGAAATCCCTTAATACACATTTAAAAATGGCCCAGAGTTGTTGAGATAGAGGCAGCCCATCACTTTTTGCGAAATGATTTGGGTCTATTCTGAAAGAAGAAGCGTTTTTCATAAAAATAAATAAATAAATAAAGATGAGCGCTTTTACACCATGTCCCAAATTCCTCTGCTAGCTTGCTCCCAAGAATTTTCATTCACAAATATTTAGTTGTGATTTTTATAAAGCAAAGAAAAAAAACAAATATTTTTTAAATGATTATTGTTAACACTAATTCTAGAAGGCGGTGGGAAGACAAGAGAAACAAGAACCTCAACCAAAAAAAAAAAACCTTGGACTCAACGTGGGCCGTGGGCGATGGGATTATGGTCCAATAGAGGTGAGAAGTGAAGGTTCTAAGAAACTTCCACAGTCACTATAATTGAGAAAGAAAATCAAAAGTAGTGTACTGGGAATATATTAGAAAATATCAAAAGGCCAATATCGGTTTGTCCGTGATAATAACTGAAGATGGCCATTGTCCGAGAGGGCGTCGTGAGGAATACGTGTTGGGCCCTGGTTTGACTGTCATGGGAGGGTCGGTTATCTTGTCTGCTACGTGGCGCCAATTGGGTGGTTAGACCACAAAGGTACGAACCAGTTTCGTTAATCGCCTTCTCATTGGTCAACGTGGCATTCCCTTAACGGCCTCATTCCTTCCATTCTTTGGCGGCAGTTTTACTTTCCATGTTCTTTTCTTCGACGCAAAAATCCCCCCCGTCTCTTTCTTCCCACTTCATTTAACCACCTCAATTTTCATTTTTTTAAATTTAATTTGACCAATCAATAAATAATATTACTTCATGATTTTTTTAAAAAAATTAACAAACACAATTTTCACATTTACTTTAATTTTTACGTCATTTTTTTAATGACATGTATAATGGAGAGTATGTGTATTCAAGAGAATATAATTCAAATCCCCTCTTCTTCTTTTCTCGCCCTCATTAATACAAAGAAAAACATGTGCCAATTCAACTTTAGAAGTGGACGTGGGCGTCCATGATGTGCCCTGCTTTTTCTATTCAAAACATAACTTTTTTGCTTTGTTGATAATAATATTTAATGTTTATCGGCCCATATACAGTTATATGTAAAGTAAAGGCATGGGTTCAGTAAAGCTACGGCGCTGGGTAGAGCTGGGGTTAAGAGTTAGTTGCCCTGCCCTTGGATCGTGGGTGAGTCCAATCCCTTTCTTAAAATTTTCCTTCACAAAAAAAAAAAAGTAAAGGCATGGGTTTTGGTGGGGAAAAAAAAAGGCATGGGTTTGCAATATGAATGAAGCTCGTAAATTGATCTTTGTTTTAAGAAAATGAAACCCGTACAAAGTGTGGCTGAAATTACCAGTTACTCCAGTTCTATATACTATCTTCGATCTTTAATATAATCGTTTGTTTGATTTTTGTTTTCGTTATAAATATAAGATACCAATTCATTTTGTCTCTCATATATTTTTTTTTTGAGGTAGTCCGTATAATAATAATAGTTCTAACTAATACATTTAATTGGTAATCATATTTTAGGAGCCAAATACAGTGCTGAACCAAAAAGTTACAGCTTGGGCTTCTCATATTCAAAAACTCATGTTTGTCTCAGTCATGGTTTTAAAATGATTTTACGGTATACGAAGTAAATATGTGAAGGAAGTTTTATCTTGATTTGTGTGAAATCACTTTCTAAAAGTGTTTTTAGGTTATCCAAATCTGAAATGGAAACAAAAAATTAAAAAAAATTCTCAAACACTGAAAAATCGTTTCGTCATTTTAGTAGCTTTTCCATTTTTTCCCCCTCAAAATAAAAAATTTCGAATCTCTGAAAAGCATGGGCATTTCTTTTTTCAGAGAAATGTATCGACACAATTTTAAATTAATGATATAAATCAAGACTAGAATATCACCTGCCTTCAATGATGCTTTTCCTCTTTTCCATGAAAATATATATATACATATATATACTCCTTTAGTTTTAAATATAAAACTCATTTTACAGTATAAATTACATTATAAAATGAGTCCTATGTTTCAAACTAGAGGAGTACAAGATTTTCCCCCAGATGCATGAGGATTCATATAAAAGACGAAGAAAATTGTTGGGAAATGACTCTATCCTTCGATTGTTTGAATAATTGTCATATTGAGCCTGTTTGAAATAGTTTATAAGTAGCTTTTTAGTCATGATTTATGGAATACGAGGCAAGTATGTGAGAAGAGTTTTGTTTCCACTTACGTGAAATGTGCTTATAAGTGATTTTCACCGCTATTCCAAACAAGCCCAATTTCACGTTAAAGGATTCAATTTTGTGAAAACATAAAATATTAGAATTTCAAATTTTAAGTTTTAAATGTCAGGAAGGTTTTATGCTATTGATGCAAAGTTTAGGAGAATTTTGGACATTTTAGCCTTTTATGTATTTTTATCTAAATTTTTAGACAATGAAAATTCATAGTTTCTTTTGGTTGCAAACTTTTTTCCCCGCCTAAGGTGATTTTATTGGTATCCATTATACGAAAAGTGGAAAAAGAATAAATGCAAGAATAAGATGTGATTTGGCAACTAATAAATTTTTATTCATTTTTCAAATGTGTGTGAATGCTAAAATTTGATCAATAATTGATTATAAAAGCTTATTTCTCATAACTTAACATTAAATTCTACTTTTTATTTGTCATTCTTGCTGAAAATTTTTTCATACTTTTGGAAAACAATTATGATGGTATTTTGGTTTCTATTTATTCAATTAATGGCTAAATAGGGTGAGTTTTTTTGTATATCAACAAAAAGACAGGTTTCATTTCATAATTAATTAGGGCCTTACAAAGGATTTAAAAAAGCGACGGTTCTATATCAATATATTTCATTCGACACATTAGAGATGAAATGATAAGCTAGACAAGTCTAAGTGAGAATATATCATAGCATATAGGTAACAACAAGGTTAAACAGGACGAACTTGACGACAATAATTAATTAACATAAGCACACATGACATGGATGCTTTATTTTGATGGTGGCTAGCAGAAACCTATTCCACTTATATTTGCTTCAGCTCCAAATTGCCTCTCTCATGATCTTCCGGCTTTCACTGATCAGGCTCTCCTCATCACCCTTCTTATAATCCATAGCATTCGAAACCAAGTCACCGGAAAAGTTTCATGAATGAATAATTAAATTGATCAGAGAAGTTCAAGACTCATCCAATTGGTTTTAGATATTTTATATATACTTTTTCGTGATAAGTAAGAAATTATGTTGGATTAATTGATCTATTTTTGTTTCCCAATTTTGTTGAAAAAGAAAATGAAATAAAGAAGATTATCACTTACTTTTCAAAGAACCTGCGATATCTTGATGTGTTGATTACTATGAGCACAAAGATCTTGTCATATAGATTATGCAGGAAGGTGAAGAAAGCATGTCTCCAAGTGGGAAAGATAAGCAATGGGCCAAAGATGGCCCAAAATCCAGTAGCAAATCCCAAACCCATACTTATGTAGAAGCCTTGGTTGAAAATTGAATCATCATCATGCTTCTCAATTGTAAATGAGTCTTCTGGTTTTTTATTTTCATCAGGACAAAGCCTTTTAAGTGGACTCCCACAGAGATAGGGGTTTCCCTCATATACAGACACATCGAAGCCTTGGAGTTGTGTTCCTGATGGGATTTTTCCAGATAAATTATTATGGGATAAGTTTAAAACAGCAAGCCTATCAATTTGAGACAGACTTGAAGGGATTTTTCCGGACAAACGATTTGTTGATAAGTCAAGAAAGTCAAGGGCCTGCAACTTTCCCAGCTCCCAAGGGATTTCACCACTTAGATTGTTATTTGATAAATCTAAAGAAACTAGTTCTGAGAGGCTCCCAATTTCTTCTGGAATCTTGTCGGATAGTTGATTTTCAGATAGGTCAATCAGCCTCAGAAGTCTTTTGTTGTCTTTGAATGACAATTCTTTCCCTTTCCATCTCACCGTGGGGTAAAAGTCATAGTCAATTACATTAGAAGGGGAATTATTCTCAAAGACAAAGAATTGGTCAATGGCATCATAGATGCTAGGTTTATGAGTCATCGTAGTGAAATTTTGGAGGCATCTGGGTATATGTCCAGACAAGTTATTCACTGAAAGATCTAAAACTTCAATGGTAGACAATTGACAAAGATGGGACGGCAAACTTCCATGAAAGTTGTTCTTTGTCAAGCTAAGAACTTGCAACTTAGGAAAGTTAGATCCTGATATCCATGAAGGTATGGGTCCTGCTAATTCATTTCTCCCCACATCCAACATCACCAAGTCAGTGCAATTCTTCAAGGATGGGAGTTGGCCTGTGAAGTGATTGTTACGTAAAATTAAGTGGCGAACCAAAAGTAAGGAACCCAGAGAGGTAGGAATGTTTCCAGAGAATTCATTGTTGCTAAAATTAATGATTCTTATCGAATTAAAGCCATTCCAACAATCTGGAAGTTGTCCTCTGAAATGATTGCCTGACATGTTCAAAAAGCTTAGACTTTTCTTGGCAGAGCAAAGAAAAGAGGCCATTGTTGTTGTGTCTGATATGCCAGCATCAGAAACATCAAGATAGAATAGGCCCTTTTGTGTTTGAAGCCATTTTGGAAAAGAAGGACCTAGCATGCAAGATTGCATCCCCAGTGCTTGCAATTGAAAATGAGGAATCCAACTGTCATTGAATTTCAGAGTAAAGGAGTTCTGGGATAATCTTAACGATTCCAAATTTGTGAGATTCGCAAAGAGGCCCAAATTTGTAATTTCACCATCTAAAAAGTTTCCAAAAACATCAAAATGTTGCAATTCTAGTAGATTTGCAATTGTTTTTGGCAGTGTTCCATTTAGGTGATTGTTACCGAGTGCCAAGTATTGAAGAGAATTCATTGTTTTTCCAAGGTCATATGGAATAGAGCCATCTAAGAGGTTTTCTTCAAGATCCAGGCCTGCAAGACTAGAGTTTAATTGGAACAACCAAGGAAATATGGATGACGTGAACTTATTGTGAGATAGAGAAAGGCCGGATAGGGAATAAGAAAAATTCAATACAGATGGATGCACAAAACGAAGATCTTCATTTGAAAGATTACAATTTCTGAGAGACAGAACTTGTAGATTTGGTAGTTGACCAACCATATGCAACCAGTTTTTGGATTTTCCAAGATTTGACACATCATCTAGTTGAAGGATGATCAAAGAAGAAAGGTGAGAAATCCATGAAATGTCATCAACATCAATCAGGAGATTGTCATTTAAATCAATAGCAAGAGTCACTAATCTTGAAAGATTACCAAGTTGGTGAGGAATTAAGCCCCCTAAATGGTTTTGATGCAAATTCAATACTAGCAAGTTAGAAAGATTCCCTAGTTGCCAGGGGATTTCACCTACAAGGTAGTTTAACTGGAGATGAAGACATCGTAGGCTTGAGAGTTCTCCTAATCGATAAGGAATTTTCCCACCAAAGTAAGCATGCCTCAAATCAAGAGTTCTTAAATTGGTAAGAGAGCCAAGAAACTGTGGAATTGGATTTTGATGAAAATCATTCCAACTGAAGTCTAAATAATTCAACTGTTGCAGTTCTACCAAAGAAGAACTAATTTGACCTCTCAAAGGTTTATCACCATCACGAGCATAAAGATCCAGCTTCACAACATGGCCTGTTCGATTGCTACAGTGAATGCCCCACCAGTTGCAACAGTCAATGTCTCCATTTGGATCCCATGAAGACAAGATGCCGTACTCATCCACAAGCCCTTTCTTCAGCTCCAAAAGTGCTTCCCTTTCTCTCTCTATGCAACTCTTGCTTCCATTGGTGTGCAGAATCCCTACCTGTGAAAGCCACGCCAAGACTATGGTTTGAAGCACTCTTAGACTGTTCCAATACATGATCACTCTCTCACAAAACTTGCCTTGCTCTGAATGAATCAAAACGTGAATTTATATTAGTTTACTTCTCAGAAGGAACATGAAGTATAAGCCTTAAAGACTTCAAAATATAGCTGACTAGTTGACGCAGAATAATTCCTTGTCAACAAAGCAATCAATGAACATTACAATATGAAAAGGAAGAGTTAAAAAAAAAAAAAAAGAGGAGGTTGTTATATGAAGAGAGCTGTTAGAAAATATATCAAAGATCAGTGTGATCTTCTTGGGTGACTTGTGTGGTCACTGTTTGAGGGCGTTTCATGAGGATTAACGTGTTGGCCCAACACAAGGTTGATGTGGACATACATGATGTGCCCTGTTTTTTGTTCATAATATTTTGTTTTTGGACCAAACATTCTGATGATATAATTATTGTATATGCTTTGATTTGATTTGATAATAATATTTCATGTTATTTAAAACCTTAATATCAGGGCTAGGTTTTAAATAAAAAGTTACAAGGAAATCACACTCATCTTTCAAGGATATTACCACTGTTGTCAAACTCGTGAGTTGACTCTTTGAGTTTAACGTTTTTACGTTTTCAGCTAACAAAATCGTGTCGATTCACTTTTAAACTTATGATAATTGTAAACTCAATTAAATTTATGAGCTCATTTACCGAGTTTATCGTTTTTACATTTTAAGTTTACAAAATCGTGTTAACTTGCTCTTAAACTCATGCTAAATTTTTGGATTTAATTATGTTTAGTGACTTTATATATGAATTTTATAGAAATTTCTTGGTTGAATGTGATGAATGATGAGCATTGATGGATATAATTTCAATTATTTAAATTTAAAATATATTTAAATGAAAGTGTTCTATTTTTTATATATTAATTATTTGGTTATATATTTTTAATACCAGTTTATTAATAAAAGTAAACTCTTACGAGTTCATAATCCTAGTTTACGATCCGAGTTGATATCATTCTCACGAGTTTGTTCAAACTCGTGAGTTTGACAACCTTAGATATTATTGCTAGGTTGTATAACGATCTTAAGAGTTGCATTTCTTCCAATGATGAGTTGTTTGAAGAGTTCACCAACTCATCAAGTTTATCAGTTCTTG